TAGAACAGGTTGGGAAGGGCCAACAAAATACTCATTAATTGTGCATTGTTCATTAGATAATTAGCAGCAAATATGAGATGTTAGGGGAGGCCAGGCCCCGCTGGCCCCCCTGTCTCCGCCACCGGTATGGGGGCCATTTTCTTTCTATATACTGCCCAAGGTTGCTCAAAAAATCAAAATAAAAAAATTGCTGCAAGGAAAACCCCACCTCGTTCAAATGGAATCAAACTTGGAGCTTCGCCAAACCGAGAACGGGAAGCGATGGCGTGAAGACAAGGAAAGGAGCTCGTCAAATCAACCTCGATCAGCCAGCAAACATGTCTCGACAGCTGTTCACCTGTACTACGTATCTGGTGGGACCGCGAGGTGACCCCGAAAAGATATTTTTATCATGGATCACCACCGCGATAATTTGCAAACCTCTTCGTCCCCATCCGAGATGCAGAGAAAGAAGAGAACGATCACATCTTAGCTGAGAAGAGAAAACAGGAACTGATATTTTTAATCCTTTTTTCTCATCAGAACAAAAGGACGTGTGGGTGCGCGATCTTAACGGCAGTCTCCGCCCACCGCTGCGACGAGACAAGCGGCATTGACGAGGCCGCGACGAGCCATGGAAGTGGAATCAGCCGCCGAGCTGCAGGGGCAGCGGCCTCCGCCGTGGCGCCGCACGGTGGCCGTCCAGGCCGCGCTCTGCCTCGCGCTCTACGCGGCCTTCAGCCTCGGCGAGCCGCAGCTCCGGCCGCGGGGCGGGGGCGCGCTGGGCGTCGGCGGCGGCGGCGGCGTCAACTTCCTCAGCGTCGCGGGCGGCGCGCGCCCGCCCACTGACCAGGCGCGGCTCCTGAGGCAGGTGCGTGCGTGTACCTCTGTACAATCTCCGCGTTCGATTTCTCGTCCCCCGCATCCTCTCCGCGTTCGCCCTCCGATTTGTTATCATTTGGGCGCTCTGATTCGCCTCTGCCGGGGGAATTGCTTGGCGCGCGCGCTCTGTCCCGTCCAACCGCATCCTGTTCGTAGCGTGTCTCCGTTCGTTTTCAGCGTGGTGCTGCGAACTGTAGTTACTGCGCCGAGTGTGCCACCGAAGAAATTGTAACCGACCACGATGGTAGATTGCTTCGTGTTCGTGATGCTGTTATGCAAAATGCAATGCTGAAGCTGTTATAGAAAATTGCTAGTATTTGGTAACTGTAACCGAATAAAATCTTCATCAGTTAATATGGCCAAGCATCTCTGTGAAATTCATAGCATTTGGAAAACTTTATTCATCCTTGTTACTAGTTGTTAACTAAAAGGGGCTCACTGAGAAAGAAGCCAAGAAGGGGTTTCGCCATTTTGATGTGGATTTGCTTACTGTGTGTGTGTGCTGTGCTCGTTGGAGGTGACTGCCTGCACGATGCCACTGATTCTGCCCAATCAGGTGATGGCTTACATATTTGCAGATCTAAGACTGGTATCCGATGATAATCTCTATAGGGTGGTCATTGGACTTACCTGGGATGATGGGACATGCAACATGCTCGCCCTAGTGAGGCACATGTGCCCATCATGACCAATAATAACCTGACTCATGACCATCGATTAGTTAATCCAGCGTAGTCTGTTCACATAGCTAAGCGACGAATTAGTCTGATTCTCTACCGACCCTCTCCTGGCACATTTTATTTTCCAACCATCCTTTCTTGGCACATTGTGCTCTGCTCTTGATCTCAAAGGAAGTGACATAGTTCTATTTTCATATGCTTTGTGTGGCCTAGGAATGTTTAGTGTCATGTGACATTGGTTAGCAATTTTGCTCTTTCCCTGTCTTGAAGAAGACAACATCAGATTCATATTCTAGCAATGTATTGTGGGTTTTATTCTTAATAATGAATATATATGTATTTTTATGAAGATGGAAAGCACAGCAAAGGTTTATGAAGTCAAGTTAGTGCTGGATGTTGCCCGATTTGGCGACGACCCACTTTGGCAAAATGTAAGTACTCTAATTCATGCTAATAAAGTAATACTACTGGAATACTGTGTAAATGTGTGAAGCACACCGTTCTCCATTACTGATGTAGTAGGTATCGGAGAGATTTCAGTTGGCCCAACTAACTAAACCAAATTCTAACTCGTGCTCTATTTCTCTTTCTGTCTTCCAGGGTTCTCTGCACTTCCAAGCTCTGAATATCCCCTGGTATACTAGTTATTCCTATCTGAAAGCTCATAGGGTTTGCTCTCTGGTCTGTGTGCATTGTATGACATGAAAATTCGCTTCATCCTCAGGTATTCCACTACATCACATGGGCAGATTGTTAGTAATTTTTTGAAGAAAGTGAAGATGCCATACGACCAAATTCTGGAAATTGTTGGTGTTGACACAGGGCCTCTTGAGGTATTATATTTTATTTGGTGAACAGTTTTGAACTTCTTGTAGCAGGCAGCGTATCTGACAAACAACAGGTTGTCTTTGCACTGAGTATGTGATTATGTCAGCATCTTGCAATCAATAATGATCATCAATTATTTCATCTTTACTTGAGTATATTTTGTTACCTCCTTATTATCCCCCTTGCACTGATTAGTTCAGGACTCTGCAATCTTTTTTGGCACAATATGGTTGCAATTTAAATTTCTGCTTGGATTGCTTTATATGGAGAGTTTGTGCGATATCGTGGAATAGGCTGGCCTTTATGGATTCTTTCTGATTGATTTTCTCATTTGGTTAAAGGATCTTCTGCATGATGGCAAAATGAGCAATTCTAGCAGGGAACAAATTACATGGCTGGAGCAAACACTAGCGCGGACCAGCAATAACTGGTATATGTTTACTACTGGTCGAATATGCCTGTTTAACAATTGTTTTTGCATTGTTGAAGGAAGAAATGATTCTAGTCTATGCACTGGTTCCAACTGCTCGTATGAGCTGCATTGCTAACCTGTCTTCATGTTCTGGAAAAGCAATGCATATATATTCTGCATGAGTGGACTGTGTAATAGTGTACGTTCAATTCATAGAAGAATTAGAGGGTCAGCAACTCAGCATCAGCTTGAACATAGTATAACAAAATACTAAATAATCTCTATCAATGAAAAAAATGCCGAAGGAATTACTATGCTTAATGAAAAAAGTGACATATGAACATGCATGCACACATGTTGGTATTAAGGTTGTAATGTCTAACATTAATTTTTATTTTAAGCCAGGAAAATAGTTGTTGGATATGATCCATTAGTTGATTGCAATGAGGTCCGCACAACAAAAACAACAAAGATCTACGAGCCGCTTCGGCATATTTTTGAAAAATACACAGTGGTAATTCCTTCTTTTCAGGAAGAAGCTGTAATTTTTCTGTTCTCTTTGTCGATGAAAACTTCACATCAGTGATTGCTTATCCTTGGCTGCTTCGTATACAGAATGCATATGTAAGCACAGGTGGTTCTTGTGGACACTTCCATCATGACAATTCAATGATATATATTCAAAACCCCATCCCTGGAGATCAAACGAATTTAGATGGTTTCTTCTTGCATAGAGTCAGCCCTCTAGAGATGGTGAGATTAGGCTGACAGTTGCTCTTTTTTCTTTTTCTTTTCTTAATATCAGATTGAAACATAGAATTTGCATGTAACCCTTTTTTTGTGAACTTGTCAGGAAACCCTGTTGATAAACTTAGACGGCAAGGTTGTTCAAAGATCTGTCGTTCATCAGCATGGAAGGGAAGCCATGTAAACTCCTTCTTTTCACTTTCTAGTCAACAATGCAAACATGCAGATTCTGTTTTCACCATTGATCGCTCTGTATTCAGTTGTTTGCTTACATATGTCGTGTTTGTCAATAGAAAGACTTCTGCCATTTGTTGGTACTGCATCTGTTTCTCTCTCTCTTATCTTAAATGTCAGCATACGATGGGTGTTGCAGCGGTTTTGGGGATTCAGGTGTTTGTGTATTGGTAGTGTTTAAGCATCTATCTTTGCTGCAAAACTGAATGTTTCTAGTAGTACATTGAGAGTTTCTTTTTTTTTTAGAAAAGGAGGATGACTCCCGGCCTCTGCATCTGGGAGATGCATACGGCCACTTTATTGATTATTCTCAGGACCTTACAAAGTATTACAACAATGAGCCTGAATCCACCATCTTGGCAACACATGCCGCTACTCCTATCCAAAACGATGAAGGGGTGCTAGCTGGGCCACTACCCAAACCACTCACCTAAGCCTAACATCAAAAGCCGGAAACCGAAACATATTCGGAAGCCCCAGCCGAGCCACATACCGGGTCTGGGGCACAATCCGGTCAGACGCACTCGTGTGTCGTCGCCGCCATCTTCCACAGGTCCGTCTTCAGATCATATTGAGGCTTCTACCTTGTCTGGCCACTCTACCATCGACGTCACCATGATGCCAGACAGCAACCTCCTCCTGCGCGAGTCCATCTCCGCGCATCGGGCGGCGAGCCTCCGCAGCGCCATGCCGCCGATCTTCGCCGCCATCAATGAGTGAGATGAAGTACCGCTCCACCACGGCATGTACAAGGTGAGGAAGGGCGAGGTCCCCATCGGAGACACGGCCGGAAGAGAAGCACCGCAGCCCCGAGACACTGCCCGGAGTTGCGACGCAGTAGATCAGGCGGGCCGCCACCAGGAACCAGACAAGCACGCCATGCACACCCAACATCCCCATGCCCAAGCCGGCGCCTTCAAGAAAGTGACGACGCTGTGGCGCCGCCGCCGCTTAGCCACCGGGGCTAGGGTTTTCACCCGGGCGCAGGGGAAGGGGAGAGGCAGGGGAGGTTTAGCCTCGGCGCCGCCACCAAGGAGGGAATGGCGTCCGGGACGCCATCGACGCCGTGACCGCCACCGGCGGCCAAGGGTTTCCCCCGGCCAAGCACCCTGCCGCCACCTCCGAACCAGCCACATCATCAGCAGGCGTGTGTACGCCGGAGATCCAGGCCGGCCGAAGGTCATGCATCACGAGTGGACCAGGATCGCCTCCGATCTGACGAGGGGAGCCCGGGGCCTCCCCGCGCCATGACCTGCACCCACCGGGACCTCGCTGCCCGCGCAGCCAAGGGGAACCGGCCTACCTCACCGACGAGCACTCCCGCCGCCGGAGAAGCGCCGTCCGCACCAGCGAGGCCGCCGCCTCAGATCCGGACCCTCACCACCGAAAGGGATCGGTCAGATTGGGGGGAGTGCTGGATCCCGCCAAGTCGCCCCGCCGCCACCATCCCGGGAGCCGGCGCCGGCTTCGCCGGCCGTTCCTCCGGTAGCGGCGAGGTGGGGTGGGAGGTGGGAAGGTTGTAGGCCGCCGGATCTGGGTTCCCCCGTCGCCGCCAGGGAGGGCGACGCGGGGGACAGGATACGCGAAGGAGTCAGTTCGGCAGTTCCTATGGCATCTACATTGAGAGTTTCTGAATCCAGCTCCAAGTGGATAGGCGCCAGCACAAGCTGGTCTCTGGCTCAGAATTTGAGATACAACATGCAGTGCAAAGCTTTCAGTCTGCTATCCCTCGAACAGCTTCGACAACTGATTCTCCAGCTCCTCCGCGGTGCGCCCTGCCGGCACCTCAACCTCCGGGTGGTCGTTGAGGTACCGACGGTATGCCGGTACGACATTCCCCGACACGGTACTCCGGAGGGCGGCCCGCAGCGCCGGGCTGGGCACCTTCCAGCCTCTCTGCATGCTGCACGCGTTCTCCAACGCCAGGTAAAATGCGCTCAGCGGGTTCCTTCGCCGGAGGGTGTTCAGGGCTCTCGGCTTCCCGTCAAGGCGCGACACGACGGTCCCCCAGGAAACCTGCAGGTAAGCCTTGATGTAGCCCTCCATGCGCTCCTCGCGGGCGAGCACCCAGCCGGGCGGCAGGAGCATGCTGAGGTCGGAGCGCACGGCGCGGCGCAGGATGGCGCTCGTGTTGTTGAGCATGAAGATGTGCCTCAGCCCTGGGAATGCGAGCGCGGCGGACTGCTCCTCCAGCACGGCCTCCAGGCACGAGATCAGCTCTGTCACCAGGCCTCCCTCGTCGGCCGCGAGCGGCGAGTCGGCGTTGCCGTCGTGGTCGACGCCGGCGAGGACGAAGTAGAGGGACATGCGGTTGCGCAGCATGCAGCGGAGGTAGCCCATCCAAAAGCCGACGCATGGGTGCACCTCGCCGCCCTGCGGCATCCGCCACGGGTACTGGGGCGCGCGTATGAACGTCCTGAGGTCGCGCACGCAGCGCCGGGACGCGTCCACCAGGCCGGCCAGCGCGGCGTCGGACGCGGCCGGGACGGGGTGGGAGGGGGGCCACGAGAACATCCTGGTGAGGCCGGGGTAGGCCTCCGAGACCGGGGAGTGCACGTCGAGCGCCGCCAGCAGCTTCGACGGGGAGCTCCCAAGCGTGGCCACGGAGCCGGCCAGCCTCAGCATCGCGCCGGCGCTCGCAGCCGCGAGCTGCCCCAGCGCCGCCAGCTCCGCCGCCGCTGCGTCGTTGACCGGGTTGCGGACTTCCCGGTGCCGGTGGCGGAAAACGCGTTCCATGGTGCCGAGCGTCTGCGCCCACGCCCTGACCCTCCTCCCGACCTCCCGCCGCGGGAGGCTTCGGCGGTCGTCCATGTCCAGCAACCAGCCGACGTCAAAGCCGGCAAGCCATTGACGCAGCGCGTCCGCACGCGGAGCGGCGGCGGTGGCGGTGGAGAAGGCTGGGAGGAGGAGGACCATGCGCTGCAGGTGCTTGTCGACGTCTGCCAGGACGCAGGAGAAGGACGGGGAGATCGGGCGGAAGCTGCTGGGGTCGACCTCGGCGGAGTAAATTGCAGAAAACCACCATTTTGAAGGCAAGTGTTGCGAAAACCACTACAATACATTTTTTTTTTGCAAAAAACACCGTGTCTACGGTAATCTTTTTGCAGAAAGCACTGATCGGCGGATCGGGCTCAGATAAGCTTGTTTATGACAGGCGGGGCCCGTTTTTTGCGCACGTGGCACCGTCGGCCGTCCCGACAGCCGTTAGACGGCGTTTGACGGCGCCGTATGCCTCTGTTTGATGGACCGGTCAAAAGACCTGTCGGTGCTGCCCCCACTCCCCACTCTCTCTGCTCTTTCGCTCACTCCTCCTCTGTCTTGCTCCTCTGCTTTGCTCGCCGCACCCGCCGCCGCGTCGCCGCGCCCCCGCCGCGTCGCCATGGTGTCCTGGAGCGATGAGTCCGATAGCAGCGAGCACACCGTGGAGTACGTCAGCTCAGGTTCTGACGACGGCAGAATTAAGGTAAGTTCAGATTTTTAGGGTTAGGGTTTGTGATTTGGGGGATTTGTTGAATGAGCTTGTTTGCTGACATGTGGATCAAATGTCTGGTATTCCTATGCACTACAGATCCCTGCTACCACTGAAGACTCCGATTTCGAGGGACTTGAAACGGAGTCGCTTGTTCTCTGCAATGAACATCAGAAGCCTGCAGAAAGGCGTGTTGCTTTCGAAGGAATCCACACTGGCAGGAGGTTTCTTTGCTGTGCTGAGAAGGTATATTTTGAGTTAGGAAAGTGGATCAGAAACAATTGTTTACTCTGGCAGCATCTTTTCCCCTTGGTCTGGCTACATTGTTAAGTTAGGTCACTTTGTTTAGTGTAGCATGCTATTAATAATTTAAGACAGAATATGCATGGGTTACTGGAGCAGGACAGATGATGCAACTTGTTTAGTATGACATGTTAGGTCATTTGATTGATTTTGTTTACTTTATAGCAGGACAACATTGTTTAAGTAGCATGAGGACATGTTAAAGTAGTCCTCTTTTCAGCTAGCAAGCTCAAGCTCTGAATTTGAGGATATTAATTAAATAGTGTTGCTTGGAAGCATTTTAATGTATTTGTTTATGTTAATTCTGATTTTGTTCAGGAAGGTGGAACTGTGGATTAGTTAAATGGATTGATCCAGCTTGGCCCATCACCCTTGAGAATGCATTAACCAAGTTATGGTTTATGTATGACAAAAGTAGGAAAGACAGGACTGAGGAAAATCTTATGCATTCATTTGCTGTTCATGACCTGACACAAGAGAAGAAGAAGCTGCAGGAGAACTATGATAAGTTGGTTGAAGATGTGAATGGACTTTTGGATGCTCAGGAAAGGAGGGCAGAGGTAGAAAGGAAAGATCTTGAAACCAACAAGCTTCAGGAGAAGTATGACATGGTTAAGAACTTAGCAGCTGCTCAAGCAAATGTCACTAGGAACATGAAGCTCAAGCTAGCTGAAGAGAGGAAGAACTTGCAGAACCACATTGATCAGCTGAACAAGACAGTTGAAGAGAGGAAGAACTTGCAGAACCACATTGATGAGCTGAAGAAGACAGTTGAAGAGAGCAATGTGAAGCTGGAGGGGGTCAAGGCAATCATAAATGGATAAGCAGGTGGTTGTGGAAGAGAAGAATGGACAATATCATTTGGCATTTGCTGACCTTTTGCAGTGTGTGGTTTGGCATTTGCTGTAATGATGGTAGTTTAAATTGTATGAACTATGAGTACTTCTGACCTATGGTTATGTAATGTAGTAATCTTTAACTATGATTATGTATGGATTTGAAGTAATGCTGATTGTGATCTTTAGTAAGATGCTTGCAAATTGATGATTGTGATCTTAAGTATTTTATAGTTGTTGAATCTGATCTTAAGTGTGTTTATGCTCAAATGACGATTGTGAGCATCAAGTTGGGTCAACTAGTGGTTTGTGGCTTTTTATCGATGAGGAGGCATCAAGTAG